CTGAGGCACCTCTGGGTGGACTTGAACCTCCGGTTAGCAGCCAAGTGTGTTAACCGTTTACACCACTCAGGGACTCCTCCCTGCTAAATGGGTTGGAATTTATTATGAGGAGTTACTCAAATCTAATGATTCAGATAATGGAAGTTAAACTACTACATCTGCAATTTCATTCTGGGGAACATTAATTTCTAGTCAATCAAATTTGTATGTGTATTTAAAGGAGCCCTGGTGTCACAATACTTAAGTGCTCCGCTGCTGAAAGGTCGGAGGTTCAAACCCACCAGCTGCCTTGTGGGAGAAAGATGTGGCAGTCTGCTTCTGTAAAGATTACACCCTTGCGCTTCCTTAAAAAGCTACAAATAGAAGTACCATATGATCTAGCAATCCCGCTCTTTGGAATATATCCTAGAGAAATAAGAGCCGTCACACAAACAGATATATGCACACCCATGTTCACTGCAGCACTGTTCACGATAGCAAAAAGATGGAAGCAATCTAGGTGCCCATCAACGGACGAACGGATACACAGATTATGGTATATCCACACTACAGAATACTACACAACAATAAAGAACAATGATGAATCTGTGAAACATCTTATAACATGGAGAAATCTGGAAGGCATTATGCTGAGTGAATTTAGTCAGTCACAAAAGGACAAATATTGTATCAGACCACTATTATAAGAACCCAAGAAAAGGTTTAAGCACAGAAGAAAACATTCTTTGATGGTTACAAGGATGGGGAGGGAGAGAGAGGGTTACTCACTAACTAGATAGTAGACAAGAATTATCTTAGGTGAAGGGAAGGACAGCAAACACTACAGGGGAGGTCAGCACAACTGGACTAAACCAAAGCTAAGTAGTTTCCTAATGCAACCAAACACTTTGAGGGACAGAGTAGCAGGGGTAGGAGTCTGGGGACCATGCTTTCAGGGGACATCTAGGTCCATTGGCATAACAAAGTTTATTAAGAAAATGTTCTGCATCCTACTTTGGTGAGTGGTGTCTGGATCTTAAAAGCTAGCGAGCGGCCATCTAAGATGCATCAACTGGTCCCAACCACCTGGAGTAAAGGAGAATGAAGAACACCAAAGACATAAGGTAAGTATTAGCCCAAGAGACAGAAAGGGCCACATAAACCAGAGACTTCATCAGCCTGAGACCAGAAAAACTAGATAGTGTCCAGCTACCACCAATGACTGCCCTGACAGGGAACACAACAGAGAGTCCCTGACGCAGTAGGAGAAAAGTAGGGTGCAGAACTTCAAATTCTAGTAAAAAGACCAGATTTAATGGTCTGATTGAGACTGGAGGAACCCCAGAAAGCATGACCCCCGGACCCACTGTCAACCCAGAACTAAAACCATTGCTGAGGCCAACTCTTCAGACATAGACTGGACTATGGGACATAAAATGATACTTGTGAAGTGCGTGCTTCTTAGCTCAAGTAGATACATGAGACTAAACCAGCAGTTCCTGCCCAGAGGTGAGCTGAGAAGGCAGAGAGGGTCAGGAGCTGGTTGAATGGACATGGGTAATCAGGGGTGGAAAAGAGGAGTGTGCTGTCACAGTATCGGGAGAGCAATTAGGGTCACATAACAATCTGTGTATAAATTTTTGTATGAGAGACTAACTTGAACTGTAAACTTTCACCTGAAGTACAACAATTAAAAAAAAAAAAAAAAAGATTACAGCCTTGGAAACCCTATGGGGCAGTTCTACTCTGTCCTACAAGGGTCACTATGAGTCGGAATCAATTTGACAGCAACGGGTGTGTGTGATGTTTTTAATGAATAATTCTTCTTCCCAATTTACTTCAGTCTTCTATTGAATGTCAGTTGTAGGAAAGGGTTATCCCAACCCAGATAAATACCTTGTTTTGTGAATACAAACCCATGTTGACCTTGGGAAGTGGGAAAGGAGAGAACAGAGAGTCGGTGTTGGGCCAGGTGTCTGGCTTTCCAGGGCAGGGGCAGGGAATGAGGTGTGTTTTGGGCTGCGTTCTGATGTACTAGAACACCCTTCCTCTCTGTTGTCTGTGCTCTATTCTCAGAGCTGAGTGTGTGGTCATCCAGGTGTCCCTATGCGGAGGGTCACTGCCTGGGAAGTAGATCCTGGTCCCACGGGCAACAAACACAAGGTCTTTTGTTTGAGGGAAGCGTTCCGTCATCACATGTGTATGAAAGGAAGGCCCCAGTGTCATGCAGTTCTTGCTGGCTGCTCAAGTGTACTAAAAACTCCCTTCATTCCAAGAGGAATGTCTGCTCAGTCACAGGACTATTCCTTGTCTTCTTCTCAGCTGACTTAGTGGAAGTGTCCCAATGAAAGCTGACCAAAGAACCCACACTTGGCTGTTGTGGGCCTGACAGCAGAGTAATGCACCGCTCCTTACTCTTCCTGCAATGCTGGCCTGAAATGCCGTCTTGAGACAGTGCAAAGGCAAATTCGGCAGCCCCTTTCATACTGAGTAAAGTCCCAAAGCACTGGGGTTACCATGTAGCCAGAACACAGTGATCCTTTGTGTTAGAAGCCTTTAATAACCTGGGTGGACTACGGCGTGACCACAGCTTTTTTCCTTTTGTAACTAAGGCCAGCTCTGCACACAAACCAGCTTCACCGCTGATGACCCAGAGGTCATCGTTCAACAAAGGCAGTCGAAAACACTGGTTTGACAACTTAAATTTTAACTAGTGGGTCAAACAAATGACAAGACCCTCACAGTTTGTGGAAGTAGATATTGCCAATCATTTACTAATATATCCCTGGGAAATGAAAAAACCAGTGTGTCACACATGAAGGAGCAACAAAGCAAGCAAGGTAATTCTTAGAATACATAAAGTCGTTTTGTAAAACCTCAATTATCTTTGCCGATAAACACCTTCTCGGGAAATACTCATCCCACTCCCAAAAGCATTTTTTAAAGGTCAGCCTAGGTTTCTGGAGAGAATAAGCTTTCTAGGAAAAAAGAAAGACAAAAAAAAAAAAAAAGAAAAAAAAAAGACTGAATTTTTCTGTGGCTCAAAATTCCAGTGAGTACGTTCAAATACAGAACACGTGTAAGTTCTCCTAAATTGCTTCAAAAGCACCGATTACATCTACCATAACAGGGATGTGCACGCGCCTACAAAGCTATACAAAGTTTTAAGAGTGACGGTAAAAACTCAGTTATTAGAGATTAAAGTCTTTAGCACCCTGAAGCACTCAGAGAAGGTCTGTTCCCAGAAGTGTGGGTGTGGGCATGTGGGATAAGGGGAGAGCAACTCTGAAGGCAAAGAAAAAACTTCCGACAAATAACTGCCCGTGTTAGAGGTTCTTGAAGATGGTCTCTAGTGAACTCTGATTGGCCGGCGGACTCCGTAAGAGGTCATTTAAAAGTCTACCTTTTTATTCATTTAGGGCTAGTGGAATCCCTGGGTGGTGCAAAGGGTTAATGCACTAGGCTGCTTATCGAAAGGTTGGAGGTTCGAGTCCACCCAGGGGTGCCTCACAAGAAAGGCCTGCAATCTACTTCCGAAAAATCAGCCATTGAAAACCCTATGCAGCATTGTTCTACTTTCACACATATGGGGTCTCCATGAGTTGGGGCCAACTTGACGGCAACTGGTTAACTAGTTACTGCGTGCTAGTAAGTAAAAGTTGAGAGGCATGGACAAAGCATCTGAAACAAGCATGCAAAACAGGAGATACAGAGGGGGCAGACCTGACATATCCGGAAAGCCGACCACATGCTGGGCGCCGAGCTACACACTGTACAGCAACCTTGCAGGGGAGGGGGTGGGTGCTTCCACACGTACCGTGCGGTGGTCCTCAGAAAATAAAGTTTTTCAATAAAGTTTCAAACTCAGCCTTTTAAAAAAAAAAATCTGAAATATTTGGGCTTCTCTAACTAGTCCCTGAGGGATGAAGGGGTAGAAATATGTGGTGTAAGCCTGGCCCTACCTGAGCCCCAGAGAAGCTGTGGACCATCTTCCCAAGTCTCAATTTTCAAAACTAAGTAGTTTAACTGGTGAGAATTTAAACGCATTTTCTTTTAAACAAACAGAACTTTATAGAGGAAAAAGCAAAATCTATACAAAATCTTTTGAGAAAAGACTCCAAACCAGAGAAATGCTATTTTGTTCTGCGGGCTCCTCTGAGTCTACCCAGAGCCCTGGAGATGCAGGTGCTCTCCGCCTTGAACGCTCTGACCCAGCTCTTTTGAAGAGTCAGATGGGCTGGGAGGGAAGCTGCACCGGGCCGGTCTGAAGCAATCTGAGCAGTGAGAATTGGGGGTGGGAGTGGCAGCAGTGGCAGCAGAGCTGGCGAACAGAGATGAGGGGCAGAGGGGAGCAGGAGCAGCAGCAGATATTCTGACAGCAAAGGTTAGAGCAATTAAGAGACGGAATACAGGCGAGCAAGCCTGTTCTCTGGGAGAGGCTGCCGACACCCAAGATTCATCCACAAGACTTCTAAGCTGACCAGGATGAAGGAGCTTGCAACCACTAAACCAGCTGCCAGAGTGGATTCCAACTCATGGTGACCCCGTGTGTGTCAGAGGAGAACTGTGCTCCACAGCATTTGCAATGGCTGATTTTTCTGAAGTAGGTTGCCAGGCCTTTCTCCTGAGGTGCCTCTGGGTGGACCTGAACCTTCAACCTCTTGGTTAGCAGCCAAGTGCGCTGTTTGCATTACCCAGGGACTCCTTTCAGGACAAGTTACCCTTAATCCTCTGTCCCTCACTACTGGTATCCACAGTGAGGTCTACAGCTGGCAGTGGTATCCAGGAAGCACATTTTAGATAGGCTTATTTTCTTTAATTAAAAAAACAAAACAAAACAAAAACAACAAAACACACACACTCAAATTAACTAGACTGGGAGAGCTCCTCAAAAGTCTTTATTCTTTTTTTGACCAGTGCACTGCCCGGGACACACTGCCAGGCAGGCATTCAAAAAAACATTTTTTTTTTTTTTTTTTTTAAATAGGCAATTTTAAATACCGGGAGGATTTTCTTCCAGTGTTTCAAAAATATGATTATTCTTGGAAAAGGTTTATTCCCCCGTGACTCTGAAGAGCAGAGGCTTTACCCTAAGTTTTATAAGCCACCTCACTCAGAGAGACAGGGGGCTACCTCAGGTTAAACACATAAGTGCTCTGGAAGGGCAGTAAAAAACTCGAGTCAAGAGTTGTCATAACTGCTGAGCCGACGGTGGCTTCTGCAGCCTGGGGCAGCTTCACAGCATCCAGAGACACAGAGAATGTCTTCTGTGTCCCTCCCCACCAGGGACTCCCAGGACAGCTGCCCTGGCTCCTTCCTGCAAGACTTCTGGCAGGAGCCAGACCAACAAAGAGGGCTGGCAACATCTCCACCTGGCCCAGGCCTCACGGCAGCCTTACAGAACCAGTACCAGTGGTCTAGCTACTGACCACGTTATCCTAGAAGTACCTCCGACAACTGTCCCCTCAGACAGGGCAACAGGAAACAGAAGTGAGCATTCTGGGCTATTGCCACAGGAGCAACCTCTCCTCTTTCCACTCCATTACCTGGCATTCTATGTGCAGTACATGGACAGAGTTTTCACAAATTAGTTTCTTAAAATACAATAAAACATCATTACATAAAATTCTCTTTAAAAAGTCTTTCCAAAGCAATTCAGTTCTCAAAATTAACTTACAAAATGTTGCGCAAAAACAAACACTGACCTCAAATAAACAGAAAAAAAAAAAAAAACGAAACAAAAGTGAGGGGAGGTAAACTTAAAAAACAAAAATTAATAGAAACACCAGCTGCACTTCCAAGTATCTGCAGGACGAAATGCATGGAGAAGGTTGTTAGACACAGCCCTGGGAGGCAGAGTTGCATTTCCTGTGAGGTTGTCTGTGTTCAAAATTCACAGTGGATGCCGCCACTGAGGTCCTTCAGCACGCCCTCCTTGACAAGTCTGAGGAGGAACCCGGTCTCCGTCGTCACGTTGTGCATGGTCTGGAAGTTCATGGCAGCCATGCACTGGTTGTCAAAGTAGTGCAGAGGTGTCTTGGGATGACTGAGGTCATACCCAAACCCCGCCACACTGACCTCATCGCACAGATGTGTGGCCAGGACGACAGCAATGATGCCAATCGTGGGGACGTTCTGAAAAAGGGAAAAGACAACAAAAAAGTCAGCACGATTCACTGCTTTCCAGGTGCTGTACATTCTATGCAAAGTAATAAAAGCAGCACCAGAGGCTGCAGTTACTATTCTTTTTCATCTGTCCCCTCGGGCTACAGCCCTCAGCCCTTCTCTGGGAAGCCCTCTCCCGCAGCTCTTTCTGGGTTCACGTAACTGCTCTTCCTCTTGACCTTCCCGGCCGGTGGAGGCGGCGGCTCCCAGGATTGTTCACCCCATGCATCCACTTGCTTTTCCTTTCCCTTGGGTCTGTAAGCAGTCCCTTCAGCGACCCTTTTAAATGTGCCTTCTGATCAAGGACAGATTACCCAACAAGCAAGGTACGCACGGGCCCACCTGCACCCACTCATCCATCTGTAGTGCACAATTTCACCTTGAAAAACAGGTAAAATTGTGCACGACGGATCAGCAAGCAAACACAAGCAAGCCCACGTGCACCCTGCCCACTGGTCAATCCACTCCAGCTTCTGACTCTCGTCAACCTCCTACCTGATACAGCACAGTTATTTTGTTAATTGAACATACAGAACCACAAAATTTTAAAGTCTGACTTCGCATCAAGTTAGGAATCTAAGCTCTAAAACATGGTGGGTAATGTGAATACATTTAACACCCCATCAGGAGGCGGCCTAAACACCTCCCGCCAAGCTAAAAGTTGTTCTTTCTAAAACTTCTCTCCCCAGGTCCTGGACATGATGTCCAGAATCACAAAGCAAGCCCACTTCCTCTTTCACATGGACTTCTCCCTAAGACTCAAGTTTCCACGAGGTGTTCTCTGGGGTAAATGCCCCCAGGACCTCAGCAGTCTTCCCAAGGGCACTGTTTCGGGACCTATCCCTCCGGGCTGTCTCCTGTGCACGAGTTATGCCTCAGTTTCCACTGGTGAAGACTGTACTCAGGCCCACCTGCAGGACATCAATGTAAGGCCCCAGTGAAGGGCTTTTTTGGCAAATCACACTTCCAGGCCATTGTCACACGTACAGCTGCTAAGCCATTTCTTCTCACCCACTATTTGGACAAGTACATTTTTAGCCCCAAATTCAGGACTCTCACATTTATCCCTTTTAAAGTGTATCCTACTTACTTTGGTCCAACACGCTAAATGCTCGAATCACGCTGGGTTCAGACTGTGTACCACCCCGCCTCGTGTCTGTTACCTTGCCATACCTCCTAACACCTGCAAATCTGGAATGGTGCTTTCTCGATCCCCACCCCAGTCCTGCGTAAGGACAGTACACAGGACAGACAGGACACAGAAAGCCCTTTATGACGGCTGCTCATGATCTACTGCTGAATATTCTTTTGTACGGTGTTCCAACCATGTGCAAATGTACCTTATTCATCCATCTTAATGAAGCCTTGTGGTTCCCATAAACAACTCTTTCTCCTTTTCTGCAAACTCTCAACAGTGAGCCCTTCACGGTTCATAGATTTGGGTGAGACGAGGGAACATCGACTCAACCCATCATTTGTTATCCATCTTTGCAGGTTACTCTAATTACTTCCTTAAGATAAAATTTTTAGAATAAAACTGCTGGGTCAAAGACTACTCATATTTAAAACTGATATATAGTGCCAAACTATCCTCCAGAAAACACCCCAACTTATAACTTCACCTACATTCCCGCTGATCAAGGACATTATTAAGCTTTCAAATTTTTGCTAAGAAAATTGGCAAATTATGTCACTGTGGCTCCAATTTGCTTTTATTTGATTCTAGAAGTTGAACATTTTATTATGTGTTCCTTGGCCATACCTTCTTTGACTGGTTTTAGGAGAAACCTTGGCTCCTTTGACTTCTGTGTCCATTTTAACTCCCTCTTTTGTGAAGTGTCTGTTCATATCGTTTGCCCATTTGTTTATTGACTCATCTTTTTCTTTTTGATTTAAGAAAAGCTGTTCATGCTTTAAGAGTATTTACTCTGTCACATACATACTTAGTTTTGTGTTCTGACTTTGTTTATATCTTTTATCATTCAGCAGCTTCACATTTTATGTAATTAAACCAGTCTATTTTTAAAAGGGTACTTTCTAAATGAAATCTATCAACAAACAAACAAAGGACCATTTGTCTAGGTCTAGAAAACACTATGGAATTTAATAAAGAAACAGGGCAGTTTAAAAGATACAGAAATGAAGATAGGGCAGGATAATGAGAGATGCTCAAGTGTATTTGTAGTGAAACCTCTTTACAATTTAAGAATCTTGCCAAATTCTGTTGAAATCCTTTAAAGAGAAGTGTTATGTTAAAAATGTTGTTAACAGATGAAAAGTTACAAGTCCACGTTCTAAAGGGGTGAGTCGGCCCTGCGTGCTCCCGTGTGGGAGACAGCAGCTAAGGAAATCTTCTGATAATTCCCATCATAAATCTAACAATCTCTGCTGCAAGGAAAAATGTGCCGCCTCCTGACTGGAAAGCTGGCTCCGGACAGGCACCTGCAATGGGCAGGAGCTACTTGGTCCTAGTGGCTCTCCACGGATGAAGAGGCAGGAAGGTGACGGCAGAGCGCTGAGGAAAATGGCAATGCTGGCTCCTGAGGGTCTGTGGGCAGATAGACACTGGGAAATGAGCCAGTCAGCCACAGAGGCTGCTCTGGAGCCCCAAGGCAACCAAGCTAAGCACAGGAGGAACTTCAGCTATGTGAGATGTGTCACAATTAGCTGGGTACTTAAGCCTGAGGTGAGAGCCAGAGCTGGATTCAGCAGTGTCTGCCCACAGGAAAGAACCAGGTTTGCGTTTTGAAGGTACCTAACTGTATTTAGGTGTTCCTTTTCCTAAATCACTATAGCATTCTTTTTTCAACATCTACAAGTTGTTTTAAAGAATATTTTTTATTAAAATTTGATTCTCAGGGATAATAGAGAACCCACTAATATAACTTTCGGTTGACTACACTGAAGAGTGTAGCTCAGTGTTTGCTGCCCTGACCCGCACCTCTTGCTTGGAGACAGCTCAGGCTTCTGGTGTGAGCTGCTGGACCCCACATTTCAAAATTCGTTGCTTTTCTTTCTATTTTAGAGTTCTAAAGAAAGATTTCCATTGCTTTTTTAAGTTTTAAAAACATGGTCTAGCTAGTCAGACCATGAAGCCATAGGTAATAAAGGGATCCCCTGCCACCTGGTGGCAGCTAATTACAGGTAAAGAATCTAATGCAATTAACAGCCTACAGCTTAATGGTTTAAGCTAGGCTACAAAATAAAATCACCCAGGGAACTATGAAAAATCTCAGTGTATGACCACAGCACAGATCCACGAAATCAGAATGTTGGAGGTGGGACCCAGGCATCAGCTGAAAAGCACCGCTCTGGAGGGTTGACTATTTACCATCACGTATAAAGGGACGATAAACATCAATTTTGTCTGTTCTGCTGAGTTAGTGGCCCACACAGTGAAAATGAAAGAACTTTTCAGACCCTCAGAGTGCCCTTCAGGGTCCTGCAGTTTCAGGCGTGATCAAGCCCTAGAGTAAGAATGCCTGAAATAAAATCTCAGTGGCATAAGGGTCCATGTGCTTAATACATCAAAGCGGTGAGTCATAGGGGAGCTGGCCAGTGAACCAATCAGGAACCCTTCAGTCAGGTGTGGAGTGGTACCCATACGTGCAGGGGCTAGGTGTCCCCACTGGAGATGTTTCTGGATGTACAGTTGAGCCTAAGTGGAATTTGTACAGCTGCTTCCCCTCAAACATAGAGAAGAACAGTTAATTTGAATAACAACAAAAATACCTTATCTCGGCCCCAGAACCTTGACCGTGGCTCTGAGTACTGAAGGATGTCAAAGGCAGTCTCTTTGATAATAACTGGATTCAAAATCCTGAAATGTTTTGGATGTAGTGGGATTTTTTCTGCCACTTGCTTCCAAAAGAACAGTCGCACCCAAAATGGCTAAGGAGAAAAAGCAAGCAATGATGAGAATTAGGGTGTTGAATAAAGTTGTCCTCTCAGCAGAGGGTGAGAACGCAGCCCCTGCTAATCCAGCCCCTGCAGGGCCTGGCCCCATGGAGGCTTGGGTGCGGCATTCTGCAGCAGAGTCTCTAAGACCTAGGCAAGTCTGGCACCCCGGCCCAAAAATGTAATACTGAAGGACCTGATTTACAGCGGAGACACTGTATAAGAGAGGAACTATGGGTCCAGCTCTTGCCTGGGGAAGAAATTCCTCCTGAGATAATATGTCTCTTTAGGATCCAGAGCCATCACTCCATCCAGCGAAGACCGAGGATCAGGTCCAACGTTAAGGGTGCTAAGCGCTGTCAGCACCCTCCTCTGACCAGGCCCTCATCCTGCCTCCTCTCTCAACTTAATGTCCTAGTCCAGGATGTCTTTTGGTAACTGACTGTAAGTCATTTCATATATGCTTCATCTTCGAACAAGAACAACTACCCAACAGAAGTCCGGAAGACCCTGCTAACCTGTATAGACAAGCCCTGGACATACAAATTCTCCCTCAGAGAAAGCTTATGTGAAAAGTCTAACGATTCCCAGTATATTTGCAGACAACTGGTTCGTGCACATCCTCCTTCACAGTTAACCGTGTACCGGGCAGGACTATAAAGTAATGAGACTGATTATTGTGAAGACATACCAAAGGAATACGACCAGGTAAGAGCTCTCTCCTTCACACCGGCCCCTGGAACACTGTGCATTTATTCCAACAAGGGGACCACTTATCAGAGCAATTCTGGAGAAGCTCTTTGGGAACATTCAAAAGAGATTTTATGCATATTCATTTGTTTATGGGTTTTTTTTTACTGCTGTAAAAATATATACAGTGAAACCTGTGACAGCTGGAACTTGACAGGACTGCCTTGTTTTTCTGGGTTTTGCAAGTTTTCTGCCTTTGACAGGGTGCAGCCTTACATTTTCTATTGCTCTTAGTGGAAAATATCTGAGTTTTCCTTCTCTGACAGGCTTCCGCCTACACAAGTTCCAGCTTTCGCAGGTTTTAATGTATAACATTTGCAACTTAACATAATCTACGTGTACAGTTTAGGGACAGCAATTGCATTAATCATGCTGTGCAACCATCACCAATATCTGTTTATGCATGTTCTTTTGAATATCTTTAATAATGGTACATATTCATCCAAGAAATTTAATTTCTGGAAAGAGCCAAAAGCCATGTAAGTTCAAGTCTGGTGAACAAGGTAGGTGATTAACCCTAGCAATAGCAATTTTGGTCCCAAACTTGATATTACCATTAAATAATCATCAGAATGTTCACATGTGACTCACACTTCTCAGCAAGGACTTCTGAAGGGTTTCTACAAAGGGCACGGTGATGGGAAAAGGTTTTGCCGGTGGCAATCCCTTGGAAGACAATACATTTTTTACTAAGTACATTTGATAGCTGAAGCTCTAGTGCTTACCAGGGTTTCATTCTTTATCATTGCTTGAAGCCAGATGAAGTCAACACTCTTAAATAAAACAGCAACAAACAAATCATTGGAATAATACTCAAGGTCAGACAGGGGCGCACCCTCAGGGTAAGTCATCCTTATGGTAGTTTTATTTCCAACATGCTCTGAGTATCCCTGAACAGGTGCACTGTTTAACCTATTTAAATAAAAAACAAAGATAAATTGACAAAGCAAACTGCCAACCACTTTCTCTCACCACGCAACATCACCGCGTTGTATTCTCCACGCTTCACTGAGGACTACAGATGTGTCTGTGGTTGGGGGCCGTTCTCTCTCAGGCCCTCCCAGAGGTAGCCGTGCCTTGCGAGCTGCCTCATCAGTCCTCACCGCTCTGCCCTTTCCTAGTGCTTGACAAACACAGCCTTCATTCCACGAGGGACATCGTATCTAGTCCCTAAATGTCAAGCAATTTCATCTAGTCCTGCTATTTTAAGCCCGTCCAAGCATACTGGGCTTTCTCTGGGCACCAGTAAAGGTTCCTTGAAAGCTTCCCACTGTGCCCAGACATGAACAGTTCTTGTGAGAATTTCACAAAGGGAATCCAAAAGCCTTGCAACCAGGCAGGGCAGATACAACCAGCAGTTGTACGGGGCAGGGCCTGGGGGCCTAGGAGGATACTGGGTCCCAGGTGTAACCTGGTCTTAAAGCAAGCATCTGGGGCATTTAAAACCTTTAAATCCATGACCGCTTTACAAGGATGGTTGTTTTTGGGAAAACTTCTAAGAATTCTTCTAAAAGTCATACCACTCAGTTTTGAAATCTCAAAAAGTATGTAGTTCTTCACCTGTATTATGACCTGCATCTAACCTCTCTTTTCTACCAACTTCCTCTTCTAGAGCTCAAACACCCAATTCCTGGATTATTAAAAGATATCAGACATGACAACTAAATGCAAAGCATGATCCTCGACCAGATTTTTCTTGTTTCCTTTCTTTTCTCTCTCTCTTTTGTTTTTTAAATAAAGAACATTACCAGGATAATTGGTGAAATCTGAATAAGGTCCAAGATCATAGTTATTATATCAGTATTCATTTCCTCATTGTGAACACTGTTCTGTGTTATATAAGACAGCATCCCTGTCCTTAGGAAATGCACAGTGAACTCCTGAGGGGTAACGGGGCTTGATGTTTGCAATTCACTCTCAAAGGGTTCAGAAAACAACAGAGAAAATTACAACATAAATGTAATAAAGTGTTATCAACTGGCGAATCTAGGAGTTCTTTGTACTGTTTTTTCAATTTTTCTGTTGAGTTTGGTATTATTTTAAAATTAAAAGTTGCTCCCCCAAGAAGAAGCTTCTTCATGGGTTTTGCTCCCCTAGCCTCTTCCATCGGCCTCGGCACCAGAACCAGACAACCAGGCTACGAGCCGTCCTCCTCTGTCCCCAGGGTGTCCTGCCTGCCATTGCGGATCAGGAGTCCACACTCACCATCATCTGGACATCACGCCCCCTTTGCGGCCAGGCGGGGCTCCTCTCTGCAGGCCAAATCCCACCAGTGCTGGCCAGCGGGAAGCAGCCTCCTCTTCCGCCCACGTCTTCTCCCCTTTGGCCCCCCTGGTTTCTCATCTCTTCTCTTCCCGCATCCCAGTCACTCCATTTGGTGGACGTGTTGGTCCTGTCCCTGTCTTCCCCTGGGATGCCTATGCAGAGATCATTCAGCTCCTGACATGAAGTCAGGGATGAGGTTTTGGAAGCCTCCAACCCTTGCGTTTGGCATGCTGGGGTCTGGCCTGGACGATGGCCCCGCGGTGCTCCGAGGCCTCATCTAGGACACAGGCTTCACCTCGTTGGGTTATTTTGAGCAATGAGAATATCTAAAGTGCCTGACATGATATCTGGCACACAGGAAGCACCAGTAAAAGGCAACCGTTACATCCTCCCCTTCACCCCAACTTTCACAACCCTCCAAAGCCCTGATACCCACTCCGGCCCTCTCACTTCACACCGTACTGTTCTCTTGCCACTGTGGCCTATGGTACCTTTTCACCCTGAAACTTGGTTCTTACCTGTTTCTTCTACCTCTTGGCCCTTACAGAAATCTGGTTCTTTCCTAAACACACCTCACACTCTCTGCACTCTCCTCCTGAGCCCCCACCTTCCTATACATTCTCCACAAACAGCTGCCAACATTTATGGAGCATTTACTACAAGCTTGACACTGTTCTGAGCACTTGACATTTGTGAACTCATTTTGTCTTTACAGTAACCCTATGAGGTAGGTACTGTTACTGTCTCCATTTTACAGATGAGGAAACTGAGGCACAGGAAGTGAGATAATTTGCCCAAAGTTATCTCTGCTGGGGCAGAGGCACTGCGTGGGCACATCATCACTTTCAGGCTCAAAATGTCCAAAATAGACCTTGACATCCTCCCTCACTATCCAGGGATTTTTCTCAACTATCTCATCTCTGGGGGAGAAAAAAAAAACGCTGGTGGTGTAGTGGTTAAGTGCTATGGCTACTAACCAAAGGGCTGGCCGTTCGAATCCACCAGCCACTCCTTGGAAACTCTATAGGGCAGTTCTACTCTGTCCTACAGGGTTGCTATGAGTTGGAATTGACTTGATGGCAATGGGTTTTTTTTTTTTTGTTTGTTTGTTTTTTCATTATCTCATTTCTGAAGGTAGCTCCACTAATGCTTTAGACCCCCAGACTAGAAATCTTGGTGTTCTCTGACATTAATTGTCACACTGTTGGAAAGTTAAATTTACTGGTCCAGTATTGTTCTCAGATTCAACCTTCAGTTGCTATTTCCTCTTTCTCTGTCTCACACCAGGCCCACACACCTCATGGCCTGATTACTGCAAACTGTGAACCCAGACTCCCAAGCCTAGTCTCTCCTGCCCTCAATCAAACCCACATACTATTGCCGGCATGTTATGACCCAATTTTCATCATGCTCCTGGCTCTTCGCACCCTTCAGATAAGAACAATCTTCTTGGGAGACAAGTCACTAAAATATATCAAGAGCCTTAAAAATATCCAAATATTTTTAAAACAACTCTATCTCTAGGAATTTCTCTAAGAAAATAACCAGAGATGTACATTTTCACAATAATAAAGAAATTAAAAACATTTTTAATGTCCAGCAATAGGAGAATGGCTGAATAACTTATGATACCCTCATATACAAGAATATTATACACTAAAGTTAGTTTTCCAAAGAATCCAGGTAGTCCCCAACTTCCAACGAAGTTCTATCCCCACGACTCTGTCATCAGTCAGTTCTGATGTAAGTCAAATACCTCTTTTCTTTTTTAAGTTTTCATTATTATTGCCTTGTATTATCAGTATCTTTATAAATCCGATCTTTGAACATCTGCGAGTGAACATCTGAGAATGATAACATCATCAAATTACGTGCTACAACACTGTATGGAGTACATATTACTAACGATAGGATGTGCAAAAAAGGAAAGGAAAAAAACAGACGGTCAAAAGTGTGGTTCGTCAGAACTCAGATACGTCGTAAGTTGGGGACTACCTGTATTTAATAACCTCAGGAACTGTTCATAACATCAATATATAAAGCAAAATACTTTGTAGAAGTATAAATGACCTCACGAGTATGTGTATAAAACAAAACTGGAAAAAAACAACACAACAAATTAATAATGACTATTTGCGCTATACGTGGTTTTTGTTTTCCTTATATTCTTCTATAGTTTGCCAATTTCTACAATGAACATAGTTTACTTTTATAATCAAGAAAACAATTTTTTAACCAGCCAAACCAAAAAGAATCTGTCGTATTGAGTTCAAATTCCTCTGTGTGATTTCTGTATCCCAGCCAGCAGTGTCTGCTGGGGCTCCCCATCACCAATCCCCTGCTTCCAGAATCCAGGTGTCCCTGACTCAATTCCCCTACTGCGTCGTCTTCTTGCCCCTGCCTAGCACAAACTTCCTCCTTTGCCGGCTTACCTAAATCTACCCATCCTTCAAAATCCTACCATCTCTGAAAAGGTTTTGCCAATTCCTGCAGTCCACTGCACAATCCTGAAACCTAGGGTCAGTGAAGCACAGTTTGGGGCATCCAACCTTTTCATTTTTTTGGTCCCAACTTCTCAAATACTAAGTGGGCAGGGACCATGCCGTGCTTCCTGTATCATTCACTGTACCTGGTGCTACACTGGCCACAGAGCAATGAACTTAATTCTAGAGCAGAAAGGTTGGCTTTAAAAGCAACGTACCTTATCACAACATCAAACTGGTTCAAGGCATGGCCCAGTTCTAGTCCGTTAAGTATTCCACCGCTTCCGATAACCACACAACGCCTACATTTCTTGGCTCTCAGGTGTTCAGGAAAGTCGTGCTCAGGCAAAAGTTCTAAGAGGGTCTGGACTTCACTGGAGAACTTTCGAAATCCAAAAGGAGGGTCGTACTTGTACTCGGCTCCATTCATTGTGGTGGTCTGCTTCACAAAGGGCAGCAAGTCCGTGCTGTACCTGCGCTCAAACAACTGCGCCATGGATGTCTTCGCAAACTTGGGGCGACATTGCTTTTGCAAGATTTGCTGTGCATATCGCTGAGCTCTCTGGAATGGAATCACACAATCTGAGTTTAAGAAGCTCTCAGGCATTAGAAGTACGTGTTTTTACACAAATAACGCGTGCCCCCTGCGTTTGTTTGCTGGCCGTGCCCCCCCTCCACGAGGCACCCTCACAGTGCCGCCATGCCAATCCTCTCCCATGAGTTGTTGTAAAAAAAAATCAGAATAGGAAGGGCATGGCAAACAAATACAGAAGGTGGGCGTTGTCTACATGAAAATATGGTATACTCTACAGATGACACTTTGTCCTGTGATGTCTGACAAAGCTCCCTCGTCGTTTAATAAACATTTGTTTTTTAGAGTTAATTTATGCTCAGAAACTTGAAAAACTGAACCTGGGAGAATCATACGACAGGCAGGTAAACTTAACAAGACTATTTCATCACTCAAGTAAAGCAGGAAGGCTCTCCTCCACTCCCCGCCCCAGCTCTAACCTTGTCCACATAAATTTGAGGTCAAAAATCTACTTTGAGGTGTTTAAGGTTTCAGGTTCCTCCTATCTAGCAGGCGGAGGAAGAGGCTCATTTATCAGTTGGGGTAATGAGCTTCATACATTCTAAAGACTACCTTAACTGTAATCAGGGAATGATGTCACATTAACATAGAAGATCAGTTGGTTTCATATGCAATTTTCCCAGCACAAGGATGTAATGATGTTTTGCATCGCCATGGAACAGCTGTTGAACTCAAAGGACACCAGCATGGCTGAATGAGGCAAGCTGTGGAGGAACGCAGGACTAATGCCCATTCGCCCCACCGTCTTTCTCTCGCCTTTTTGGCCGAATGAGGCCTCAGAACTGCTTGCTGAATTGTTCTCCCCGATCTTTGTGCTTTTCCTCCTTGCCTCCAGATTCAGCCGCTTTGATTCTTCCTTACACCTCCTCCCATCAAGCTACCTTCGTGTGTGTGGCGGGGGGGGGGCGCTATATTTACTGGAATACTTGTTTTTAGGAATTTAACGTGTTTTAAGCTGTGCCTGTTTATTACGGACATCAAACCAGTCGCTGTTGAGTTTCAGCTCCAGCTCCCAGTGACCCCATGTGTGTCAGAGCAGAACTGTGCTCCACGAGGTTTTCACTAGCTGATTTTTTGGAAGTAGATCACCAGACCTGTCTTCCAAAGTGCCTCTGGGTGGCCTTGAACCTCTAACCTTTTGGTTAGCAGCTGAGTACATTAACCATTTGCATCCCCCTATTTATTATGAGAATTATTATTATTACATAATTTTAAATGCTTGCTCCAACTGTATTTTTCCTCAAAGCCTTGTTATTTATGATGTAATTTTTGTATAATACTTTTTTTTTTTTTTAAAGAACTCATCTATCCTATTAGAGTAGAAACGCTTTTTAAATTATACCTTCAAAAAGTTACTAGCACCTGTGAAGAGCTCATTGCTTACATGCTGAGGATCTAGCCCCATTTCTGAAAAGAGGAGCTGGTATTTTGTGAGTCTCAGAGATGATGCTGCAGACACAATGAATAGCCACTGTTTCAGTTCACCCTCACGGCACCTATGGCACCTGGCATGACGGTCGTTAGTATCTTTGCTCTGTGGGCTCAGAGACGTTCAGAGACCTGCCCAAGGTGTCATAAGTAGTAAAGGCCTGAGCTGGTATATTAACCCTGGCTTGACTGCTTCCCAGACTCCTAAAAACAGCTGACTCTGCCTACAGAAAATAGCACACAAATGACAAAACAGCCATTCGTGACCAAAAGAGGGCAAAATGTAGACAGAATTTCCAATTTTCATGGAATCCAGACTTTCTAGAGCCATGGAGGCTGGATGAACTCCTGAAACTATTGCCCTGAGATAATCTTTAAACCTTAAAGCAAAAATATCCCTTGAAATCTTCTTTAAACCAAACAACAGTTTAGCTTAATTAGTAAAGGATGTCTGCCTTGAGTATTGTGCTCTTTTAGAGAACTACATATATGTGATCAAATTAACAACACAAAGGTTAGACAGGAAGCTTAGGGGGCAGTGAGTTTATGTTAACGGAGGTGGATCAATTTGGAAAAGGAGGGTGAGAATGGCTGCACAACTTGAAGAATGTAATCAATGTCATTGAATTGTACATGCAGAAATTGTTGAATTGGTGTATGTCCTGCTGTGGGTATTTTCAACAACAACAAAGTATTAAGAAAACCTAACAACTGTTTGAATGCAAACCAGCATCTTCAAGAGTAATCAGTGGGACAGCCAAGCGAGCTGGCCATAACCTTGGGCAGTCTCTGAAGGAGGGCTCGCTCCTGCCTGGACGCCAGCAGGACGCCGTCACACTGGTGACGGTATGGCAAAGAGAGATGTCTCTAAACCCTAGGCTCGAAGCAACTTTTAGAGAGCAAAGGGTCTACCTTCACTATATACTGACCCCAAGCTTCTGGTTCTATGAATCTCCTAGGATGGAAATGTCTGAGAAGGCCAGGAGAGACTTTGAGAAGCTCAGTGACGGGCTCAAGGCTGGAAAGAGGCAAGCGATCAAGCTGGAAATGTGTGCTCAACTCTCTGGGGCTGCCAAAATTTCTCTTCAGAAGTTTCGTTTGGGAAGGAGTAAAATTTCACTCCATTTCCATTCTGGCAGAGTTCAATGTCAGGCTTCAGACTTCATTTTCTCGACCATGAGCAGAGCACTTGGCTTACTAATCGTCTTCTAACTGTAACCCCTCGTGTGCCTGACTCACAGCGGGGGCAATAAATAAACCCCAAGTAAGTGTCCCACATGCCCCTTGAAATATCTAAAGCCATAGCGATTCCTTTTTCTTCTTTGTCTCAACTCATTTAACGATGTGTAACAAGCTCTGAGACAGCCCCTGGATAATTTTTTCAAATGGGAAACTGCCTCAACCTCTCTCCTGAACACTTGTCTGTGGTTTGAAACCCATTAAACCAAACCTGTTGCCATCAAGTCAATTCCAATTCATAATGACACCATAGAATACAACAGCCCCCTCGGGTTTCCAAGGCCGTTAATCTTTACAGAAGCAGACTGCCACGTCTTTCTCCCAAGGAGTGGCTGGTGAGTTCAAACAGTCCACCTTTTGTTAGCAGCTGAGCGCTTAACCAGTATATCACCAGGGCTCTGTTCTGTGGTTCAAAGCTCAGAAGATCAACGCCCCAGGAGGAGAACTGCATCTTAAGGAGTTATGATGAATACAGGAAGCACGGAGATGTAGTTTCTATAACAGAAATACCACAGTATTTGTTTCTGTAACAGAAATACCACAAACGTACTTTTTTATACTTTAATGGACACAAATTTATTTTCTCACAGCTCAGGAGGCTGTTGTTGCTGCTATCATGTGCCGCTGAGTCAATCCTGACTCACAGCGACCCTACATACAACAGAAATCTGCTCGGTCCTG